TCAGCAATAGCAAAGGCTGCGCCCGCTTCTTGATCCATATCGTCAAAGTTCAACGGGGCAGGCAACATAGGCGCAGCTGGCGGTGCTGGAGGAGGCTCGGGATGCACAATGGGATCAGGCACCATTGGCTCCTCTTCGCTTTCTTCAGAGCAGCTGTCCTGGTCTGGGGCACCCAAAACCGGACCAGCCCCAGGTGCATGGGGATTCTCCCGAAGGACAATTCCAGGAGGTTCATCCCTCTCAGCCTGGTTTGCCACCACGGCTGGGGGGCGGTGCACAGGATTGTGCTGCTCGAGCTGAGGATTTTCCCGAAGCACAACTCCAGGATTCCTCCTCCCCTGAGCCTGGTTATCCACCAAGGGCTCAGGGGGTTGCACGTGTTGTGGCCCGGGCTCAGGGGCTTGCTCATCCTGCGGTTCCACCCTTCTCCGCCTGGGAGGCGGGGGGTTCACACCAGCAGGCGGCGCTCTCTTAGGAGCTGCACCTCTAAGCCGAGCTCTCTCTCGCTTGCCCGGCCGGGCTTTTGAGTAGGCCTTGGAGGCAGGGGATTTATGCTTCGGAGGCATACTCAGGAGGCAGTCTTAGCGGCAGCGTGCTAAAAGGCAATCTTAGCTTGCTTGAGCCCAGACTGCTTCGCTTTGGATTTTGGCTTAGGCTTGGGAACAGAAATTTTAGGTGAAGGTTCCTGACTGGAGGACGACACAAAAAAGGCCCGAACACTTTGAACCCCAGTGTCAGTCACCTCCTTTGCTTTTTTGGAGCTAGCAGTAGCAACCTTACTTTTGGTGGGCCTGCAAGGCGCTACAATCCAGGTCGGGATTTTGCGGACACCAACTTTGACCATCTTGTCACACTTTGAGCAAACCCAGGACTTACCTAAATTAACCCACACATGATCAGGGTGGGGATCCCAAGGAGGAGGGTCCGCCTGAACACCTAGGCAAGGGTGCTTGATCTTAAGGGAAAAGGTAGGGAGGGGCTCAGTCTGCTGGATGTATAGCTCACACCTCGAGCACCGCGCTGAAAGGTTGGAAGGAAGCCTACAACCCTCTACCCAGGTGTGCCCCAAGTTCTGTGTACCAGCAAGAAGGCCTTCAATCTGTTCCCTTTTGTTAGGACCTTTGATTTTGGGGAGCTTAGAATTTTTTAGGACACCCGAATCCCTGACCCTGGGCTTTTGGCGGAGCTTTCGTTGCTCTTTGTCAGGCCACTGAACCAGCGGTCCTTGGTCCTTGTCATACGAAAGGAGAGCTGCAGCTCTCCTGGCCAGTAAGGTGTTAACCTGAATGGCAACTGCATCACGCTTTTTAATTTGGGATTCAAAGTTCAGGTCCCTACGAGCTTCGGCAGCCGTGCCAACAAGCTGGTCCACAATTTCGTTAGCACGTCGCCTCCAAAGCTGGTTAGCACCAAACTTTGCTCGGAATTGTTCTTCCGTTAAATGCGAGGATACCCAGTTAAGGCTGAGTCTCTGTGCATGCAGTCGAATGGGGTCGAAGAGGTCGGCAGACTGGATGGAAGGTGTACCATTCACTCTGGGCAGGATGCCCTTGCAATCCAAGGTGAGGTCTGCGTTCCCTTCACTATGCTCAGCTACAAACTTGACAGCCGCTGCCTCCGCCCGGAACACCGATAGCGGAGATTGCAGTGAGCCGACAGCTGTCGCGATCGTGACGGGCTCATCCCCTTCAAGCTTAAAGGCAATCGCAGCCCAGGTATACCGATGGAACCTGGGGTCCTTGGATTTCCCCGGGGAGCCATCAGTAGCAAAGTATATCGCCTCGCCACAAATGACCTGGCCATCACACCAGGCACCAGTAGTTCGTACCCATTCCCCATCATCAGGGTAAGGCGAAATCGGCAGAAGGCCTCTGGCCCACAGTGACGAAATGGGCCACTCTTGCCGAAATCTAGGAAAGGAAGCCGGTTCCGGGAGGTTGGTTCGCCACCAGTCACACTCCCATAAGACATGTTGCATGGTAGCAGCACAGCCGCACCTCAGGCAAGTGGCACAAGGATCAGCACGAATTGCTCCTTGCCAAACAGCCATGAGTCCTGACCTCTCCTGGCCTGCCATCTTATTCCTAAGCTTTCTGAGGGGGGCCCAATCAATTCCCACACTCAGAGGTTCAAGCATGTCGTGCTGGGCTATACGTGCGAGCCTCCACCTATCTGTTTCCTTAGAAAGGGAGCAAAGGAGGTGGTGCATGCCTACTTTGGTGGTGACGCTGTGCGGTTGTTCAGGGCATTTCCAAGTGTCCGCACTGACCGGGGTCCAACCCAAGTCAAGCAGGTAACATAGGAGGGCCCCAACCGGCCCTGCAGCGCGCTTCCAGGGGTACTCCACCTGTGAGTATTCAAGCCACATACCCGGCAAGACATCATCAAAGTGCTGCCTTTGGCTATCGGGAATGAAGCCCAGAAGCCTGTGAATGGCCTTGAAGTGCTGGGAAATGATAGTAAAGGCCGGGTCCGGCCGCTTAGGGCACGCATGGTCAATGGTGAGGTCAACCGAGCCCAAAGACATTCGCCCCAATTCATGTGCGAAGGAAGCACGCAACCAATGCATACGCTTTGGCGCAAGCCCAACTGCCTCATGGCCATAGAGGCCCACAGTTTGGACCCCCGCCCTCAGGGCTCTGACCCTAGCTGGCATCGATTTCACACGCAGGGTCGAGAGCCTAGCCTTGCGCTAGGTGAATTTTATTGCACGCTGCGAGGCGTAGCCACCGGAAGGGCCGTTGGTCAAGGGAAAATCAAACTAAAAAATTACCTCGTTGAGGTGTGCGTTCTAAGCTAGGCCCTCTCTCAGCTGCAACCCTCAGCACCTCGCGAGGCCAATTGCCCTGCCGCATAATGCAGTGCGGGTTGAGGCAAATTGTTTCTTGTGTGGCAAGTCAAGCCTCCTTAAGTTTGGAAATCCCCATCTCAGAATGGTGGATGGTTTCTGTGCGAGTGTCATAATATTTCTGGTTGCCGGCATGCGGATTGGCGAGGCCGCAAAGTGAAACACGTGAGGTATGAAAAAACTGCTACTCCAGGTTCGTCCGCAGCTCCGGCTTTCTCGCACTTACTAACCGTGCCTTGCAGCCTCCCCCAAAGTAGCGTCACCCTGGCTTTCTCGCTCTTACTCACCAGTTGACCAATAATGCATCTCACGCGGTTGCTTCATGGTAAAACTGCAGCTCGAGGTCCCGGCGTTCTCGCTCTTACTAACCCGGACCGACACTGCAGAGAAGCATTGACTGTTGTTCCCTCATCGGAGGCGAGGCCGAACAACCATTCCGCTGCATCAGCGCAGCCAGGCCCTCAGCTCCTCACTGAGCCAGGGCTCTCTTTAGACAGAGTTCCCCTGCTGGCAAACCCTCTATCTCTTTGTGACCCCCGCGGTGCCACGTATAAGCAGCTGCACCGCGTGTCTTAGGACCACAGTTTTCATTCGGATTTGTTGTTGTAGGCCTTCCAGTGCTTGAGGCCGAATCCAAACACCACATCTCACGTCACAAGGATGGCAATTTGGCTCCAACATCTGAAGATAGTAACACATACTCTGCGTGGCGTCCGCGTGAGCTAGCCTGTCCTTTCTTTAGGAGTTCGGCTCCTTTCATCGCTTGTCTTACCACAGGTCTCTTTCGGTGGCCCGTACTCAGCAGCCAGCACATGTACCATCCTCAGACGCCAGAGCCGCCTTGCCCCAGCAAGTGCCCATACAAACCACTCACCAGATAGTGAGAGCCAACATCTTCAAACAACCTCCAGCGGCCGTGCCGCGAGGACCTAAACATCTGCAAGGTTCCGCCTTGTCTGTGTGCACGGACAGACCCCAGCCCTTGCAGGAGACGTGGATGTAACAAAAGCAGGCCTGCCATGTCCAGCAGGCTGATTACCATTGGTTGCCTTCAGATGGGAAAAGCGCGAAGATCGGGTAACCTCCACCTGAATCCTTTCCGGCCAATACCAACCCTTACAAACCCTCAGCACGGAGCGAGGCCGAAGGAGGCTTCTTGGACTATTGGTTTTCCGGGGAGCAGCCACCACCAGCTGCTCTTCAACTTGCACTGCGCTGCACCACAGTCCTACTGCAAGTTCCTTGGCAACGGTTTCTCAGTAGCACCAGTCAATGAGCTTTACGACACTGATGCCTCTGGTTATTTATGTCCAGGCAGATCCACCAGGGTTGGGCCCAATCTTTTCTACCTGATTCTACCTGCGAAGAAAATCCTGTTGTGCTCAGCTTGCAGATCCCCGAAAACCTGCAAGCTTGGGCTCGAGCACACCGCAATTGGTCGGGACACTCCTGTCGCCACTGCAAGGATGCCTCTTGCAGTGCGACGTTGGCCTGCACTGTCTGCAGCGTGCCTGGCCGTTTTCCCCCGTGTTTCGGTCTCACCTTCGTTTTCCACACAAGTGAGCGAGGAACCCAAACTCACCTTCAGCACAGCCCTCAATCCAAATGAGGGTCGGTGGGTTTTGCTCACCCAGAGACAGCAGGAATCTCTGGTGAGCAACAGGCTTGCGTCACCCCTCAAGCAATGCGAGGCTGCAACTCTC